ATTGCCCTCTGCCACTGTACCAAAGACCAGAACTTTTACTGTAGAAATATTGAGAAATATTGAGGTAAAGTAGCCATTTTGGTCCAAAATACCTCCAAATAGTCAAAACATGTCACTTTTGATCTACTGTAACTTTTACTGTAAAAAGGTGTGCGACTAATTTCACTGGATTCATGACCTCAAGATTTGTCCTCTACCACTGTACCAAGACCAGACACTTTTACTGTAGAAATATTGATTTAAAGTAGCCATTTTGGTCCAAAATAGCCTAAAAATGGTCAAAACATGTCACATTTGATCTACTGTAACTTTTCACTGTAAAAAGGTGTGCAACTGATTTCACTGGTATTCATGACCTCAACATTGCTTCTACCACTGTACCAAAGACCAGACACTTTTACTGTAGAAATATTGAGAAATATTGAGGTAAAGTAGCCATTTTGGTCCAAATAGACCTCCAAAATAGTCCAAAACATGTCACTTTTGATCTACTGTAACTTATTACTGTAAAAAGGTGTGCGACAAATTTCACTGGATTCTATGACCTCAAGATTGTCCTCTACCACTGTACCACTGTCCCACCCCCCCCCCCCCCCCCCCCCCCCCCCCCGCCGACGACCACCACACATTGCCTTCAAACCTGTGGGAATGATTCTGACATTTATGTACCGATGGCTCTTTGTGTTTTCTATCATTGCATTTCCTGTGTTTGAACGGTTTGATTCTCTGATCTGTGTTGGCGAAGTCAATGGTTTTGTAAACAAACTGAGATAAATACTGTTGTGATTTAGGGAAATACAGTGATACATTGAAATGAAGTGATAGAGATGCCCCAATGAGGTATTTCAGTAGATATAGAGAAACAAAAAGTGATCCGAACAATAGGAGGTGTTTTATCTTCTATATTCACACTGAAAGTTGTTATTAGAAATTCTTGCACACCTTTTCTCCCCCTCAAGCTTCTGTATGGCAATGTGTTCTCTGCGTTTGACCCATCCTTTACTGATCTGTGCAATAATTATTTGAATAATGTCAGAATGTGCAATATAGGACCACAGGTGTCCACTGTCACTGTCTATTATTTACATATATATAAGGGCTGTCAAAATATTACTTTTTTTGTTAATTACAGCTTAAAAATTAATTCATGTATTGAATAAATTAATAAACTGTAATTAATCACATTTCTATCTATATTTTTCTGTAAATGGTTGTTTGAATGGAAAGATAAATGACAACATAATGTACATATATACTGAATATGTTTATTATAACGACACAAGCCAAACTATTGTTTGTTACAGGGATGACGGATGAGAGACATTTCAAAACAGTCTGAAATGCAGAATATAATTTAATCTTTTGCTCTTCTGTTTGCTCACAACTTTTTTTTTTGGGCACAATCAACATGAGATGTTAATGCAAGGGATGATTTACACACACACATATATGTATATGGTAGAGCATTGGCCTTTGAGCCTGAAGTCGTGACCTACTTCACGACTCCCACTGATGTCTGCTGTTGATGTGTCCTTGGGCAAGACACCTAACCCCACTTTGCCTGAAGCCCCAGCTGAAAGATCTCAGCTCAGTGAGGGACTGGTGCTATGTCTAATGGTGGCAGCCCCCCCCCCCCCCCCCCCCTCTCTTAAGGGGGAGAAAATGGATGGATGGATGTATCTTATATATTTTTGGGCAAATATGTTTATTTTTACAATCCTCTAAAGCTGCGATGAAATAAAAACAATGCTAGCCTCTGTGTTTAAAAAACAATTAAACATCCAATAAGAATCTAGTTTGGTATTCACCGGAGAATTGACCATAGTCACCATAGCAACGCATTGCACTGCAAAAGATGACAGAATTAAAGACAAAAAAAATTCTCAAATTTGGCTAAATGTATCTAAATATGAGCACATTTTGACTGCCTTAAAACAAGATTTGCCAGTGGAACAAGAAAAATGATCTTGTTTTAAAAAGATACAAGATATTTCTCTCTTGGAATGAGAAAATAAAGCAATAGTTCTTGAATCAAGTCAAAATTGCTTGTCTCATTGGCAAATCTAATTTTAAGACTTGAACTTAAGTCAAGTTAAAAAAACTCGATTCTAGCAATTATGATCTCATATTTGATCATTTTTTGCAGTGTGCCTACTAGTAGCAGTTAGCATTTGTTAACCTGTAAGTCAACTGTTTTCTGTATTCCAGGTATTTTCACCATTTTTGGCTATTATTAAAGGTGAAGACATTGTACACATTTTGGGGCATTTTTCCTCAGCTTCCTATTAGTTTTAAAAAGAGCAGTCAAAACAACAGCTCTTGAAATCCATGTGTTAAGTTTTGACAGTGATAAAAGCAGGTATTTGACTTGAGGTACATATATTTTAGACTTTTGCTTCTGCTGCTGCATCAGACAGAAATGTATGAAATAAGAATATATTGAAAACTGCAGACTCTGCGTTTTGGATCTGGTCTCCATGGAAACGCTGTGGATCTACTGGAATGTTTCACCGTGTTATTGTACAATACATTATTTACACTAGGAATGCCACAGCCGTCGATTTGACGGCTTTTCGTTTTGGAAGTGTGATCTTGATCTTGGAGCCAGTGCTGGTTACCATAGCAATATAATGTTTACTTACACTAGAGAGAGAGACCAGAGAAAGAGACCAGAAAGAGAGAGATCAGAGAGAGACCAGAGAGAGAGACCAGAGAGAGAGACCAGAAAGAGAGAGATCAGAGAGAGATCAGAGAAAGAGACCAGAGAAAGAGACCAGAGAAAGAGACCAGAGAGAGAGACCAGAGAGAGAGATCAGAGAGAACCAGAGAGAGAGACCAGAGAAAGAGACCAGAGAGAGAGAGAGATCAGAGAGAGACCAGAGAGAGAGACTGGAGAGAGAGACCAGAAAGAGAGAGATCAGAGAGAGAGACCAGAGAAAGAGACCAGAGAGAGAGATCAGAGAGAGACCAGAGAGAGAGACCAGAAAGAGAGAGATCAGAGAGAGATCAGAGAAAGAGACCAAAGAAAGAGACCAGAGAAAGAGACCAGAGAGAGAGATCAGAGAGAACCAGAGAGAGAGACCAGAGAAAGAGACCAGAGAGAGAGATCAGAGAGAGACCAGAGAGAGAGACCGGAGAGAGAGACCAGAAAGGGAGAGATCAGAGAGAGAGACCAGAGAAAGAGACCAGAGAGAGAGATCAGAGAGAGACCAGAGAGAGAGACCGGAGAGAGAGACCAGAGAGAGAGACCAGAAAGAGAGAGATCAGAGAGAGACCAGAGAGAGAGATCAGAGAGAACCAGAGAGAGAGACCAGAGAGAGAGACCAGAGAGAGAGACCAGAGAAAGAGACCAGAGAGAGAGATCAGAGAGAGACCGGAGAGAGAGACCAGAGAGAGAGACCAGAAAGAGAGAAATCAGACAGAGACCAGAGAGAGAGACCAGAGAGAGAGATCAGAGAGAACCAGAGAGAGAGACCAGAGAGAGAGACCAGAGAGAGAGACCAGAGAAAGAGACCAGAGAGAGATCAGAGAGAGACCAGAGAGAGAGACCGGAGAGAGAGACCAGAGAGAGACCAGAAAGAGAGAGCTCAGAGAGAGATCAGAGAAAGAGACCAGAGAAAGAGACCAGAGAGAGAGATCAGAGAGAGACCAGAGAGAGAGACCAGAGAGAGAGACCAGAGAGAGAGACCAGAGAAAGAGACCAGAGAGAGAGATCAGAGAGAGACCAGAGAGAGAGACCAGAGAAAGAGACCAGAGAGAGAGATCAGAGAAAGACCAGAGAGACCAGAGAAAGAGACCAGAGAGAGAGACCAGAACACATGGGCCATTGCTCCATTCTTTCATTGCAAAAATCGGTTAGAAATGTCACAAATTTGGCAAAATATTTGAGCATACTGAGTGCTTAAAAAATAAATTGACAATAAGACAAAGCAAAATGATCTTGTTTGAAAAAGATACATGAAATGTCAACAGTTATTGAAATAAAACTAAATGGCTTTGTCCCATGTGTGAGAATCAGATAAAGATAAAAATAAAACACTTGATTCCTGCAACTTTTACCTGATATTATATCTTTTTTTACAGTGTTGGTCTTCAACACACTCAGAATGTGATCAACTTTAGATAACTTTTTCCAAATTGTAGGCATTTTTTCATTGTCATCACTTTTACAGTGATTGATACTGATTGCAAAATATTGTCCATTTTGATTCAGCTTCTCATTTGATTTGATTTTAGTTATTATTCTATGACACTGCGGTTACAAGAGGGGTTACAGACCACTGTTCAGAAATGCTAATAGATGTTAATAACTGTCCCTGATTATCACTGCCCTTAGACCCTCCTGCATCAGGAAGCAACGACTCAAAAACCCGGTCGGAAAAAAGTGAGAAACCTTAAAGCTGCACTAACTGACTTTATTTTCGTATTAATTACGAAAATGCTATCCATGTCCATGTAGTGCATTGGGATATACGTCTTTTTGAAGAAAAAGTAGCGCAGATTTGTGCTGGCCTGACATTATATTTTAGATCGAGTTTTGATGAAACAAGGAAGAGAATGTGTTTCGGGTCGCAGATTGTGACCAATCACAGCGCACCACTAGCCCCCACTTTCGTGAGAAATCTCCAGGTCCGTTAGCATAGACAGCTGAGTTAGCACAACAAGCGGCGGAGCTAACCTGAAACTTTCTCGTCTTCGTCACCGGTTACTGCTTACACAGCGAAACAGCCATCCAAAAGAAAGTCTCGTTCATCCGCGCTTCCCGGTTCTATCCTTCTATGGTCACGCCATCCACGTGCAAATCCATATCCATGTATTATCCATATTGGGAGAGGCTAGCTCCGTCTCAACACTGTGTGTGTGTGGGGGGCGATAGCTTCGTGGGTGCGGGGAGGGGAGCAGAAAGAGAGAGGCCAGCGAGTCTGCGGCTTCAAAATCCCAAAGTCAGTTAGTGCAGCTTTAAGTAGAGAGGGATCAGCTGTAGATCCAGGACTGAGGCTGCTTTTCATCTGCATCCTACACACAAGTCACTGATGACATACAGGTATGAAGACTTCAGCTCAGTGTTGGGGGAAATACAAAATGTGTGAAGCCTGCACAGTTTGGCTTTGTCCCAAATCCTGCAGAATGAGCAAACGCCTGGTGCTGACTGCTTTGTACACAGAAAGGTTTATTTACTACTCTGAGATATTTATAGCCCCAAGACCACAGTGGGAGTGGATTATCGTGAATATGACTAAAGGCTAAGTCAGCCTGTCACAGCAGCATGTGGACCAGTGTCTGTTTGACCAGGAGGGAGGGGACCTGTGTCACTGTGGGAACACGGCCAGGACGTGATACTACAGCACCACACACTCTACACTAGACAGTGATACAGACTCTGCAGTCACTATAGTCCCAGCGAGTCACAGTCTGACCAGCACCGTCTTCTCAGCCTCAGTCTGTGAGACTGAGATGCAGCTGAAGAATCACTCTAAACATGGACCACACCAAATCCCATGTGAACGCGCAGCGACACACGCGCACGTCGAACATCCCCCGTGCACGCGCACTAACAATGACCTCACTGCCACGTGCACACATCTGTCATTCATGGCCTCGTGCCCACCACACCTACAGTCAGCACAGGTGCAAGAATACAGACAGAGCGCGTACACACACACACAGACGCATGGGTGCGTGCAGCACGGCACACGCCCCCTTGTTCCCTAGTCCCCGGACCCCACGTCCCCTCATCCCCCGGTCTCCGGCTCTTACCTCCAGACCTGTCCGAGCTGCAGCACGTGCAGCGCGCTCTGAAACACCCAGACACACGCGGTGCAGCAGCGGCGCGGCGCGGCAGGTGCGGTCTGTGCGGTGTCTGCGGTGCTGTCCTTGGTGCTGAGCGCGTTCTCTCCTGACGCCTCTGCCGCCACCGCGCCGCTGCTGGTGTCCCCGCTCAGCTCGCTGTAGTCGTACACGAACCAGCGGAAGCTCAGAACCTGCACCACCGCAGACGGAACCACCACGAACACCAACGTCAGGCCGAACCACCAGTAGTCTCCCCGCAGGTAGTAGTCCGCGGCCAGCCACAGGTCTGTGGCGCCATCACAGAAGAAGACCAGGAGGGCGCACAGCACCCAGCAGCAGTCCAGCCCGCTGTAGGCGGTGGAGCCGGGGCAGGCGATGCTGCGGGCTCTGGCGGCACACAGCCCCGCCTCAGAGGCGCTCCTGGCCGGGGTCTCATCCTCCACACACACCGCTGCTCCGTCCGACTTAGCAGCCATGTTGGTTCTAGAGACGGAGAGGAGGAGGAGGAGAGAGGAGAGAGAGGCGCGCGCGAGAGAGATTACATCATAACTGGCCTCATCATCAGCCAATTACTGAGAGCCATCACAGCGCGAGGCAGTGGCAGGACGCGTCTGCATCTACATACACCACATACACACGCACGCACGCACGCATACACACACACACACACACACACACACACACACACACACACACACACACACACACACACACACACACACACACACACACACACACACACACACACACACACACACACATACAGACATACATAAATACACTAAACATAAACGCACATATACATACATACATACACCACACACATGTATACACACACATACACAATTACGTATACGCAGGTATACATTCATACACATATATACACATATGGATATGTGTGAACCAATTTAATTGGTTCACACAGACACACACAAACCTGAGTTGTTGCAGCAGTGTGACCGCAGCTCAGAGGGTGGAACTCTTGTGACTGGACAGTGTTGTCTATACTTCAAACACTTAAGTAGGACATTTATACAGACAATCCATAGTACTCAATTACATTTGCCCGAGTAGTTTAAGTTGTAATGATGCACAATTCAACAGCAAGAGCAGAGCATTGGACAATAATGTATCCATCTCCTTTCACTACATTAGACTTTGACATTATTTGGAGCTTCCAGATCCAAAATGCCATCATCTGTTATTGTGCACTGAAACAGCTTTCAAATCTGTGCTGCCGGGTTTTGCCTCATGGTTAAATCTTTATCTACTGACCGGAATTATATCAAATAGGTCCAGAGCCATGACTGTACAGTGATAGACCAAAAATGTAGAGGACATTTGCATATAAAGTTTACCTCTCCTATATATACGCAAATTATCTGCAGCCTCAGTCCTGGTTCGACAGCCTCAGTCCTGAATCTAAGTCATGTTGGGCATTGCTCGCACAAGCTCCCTTTCCAGAAGATTTGCACTTTTTCCACTACTGTATGTCAGACAATATCAGTCAGAGTCCAGCATATTCCACATCCTGGTGGCCAGAGTGAGACACGATCTGCAAAGTGTGGGCAAAGGGCAGTGTCCCGTCTGGAAAAGCACAGCTGACCCAGTGCACATGATACGGCAGGACTTTTTGTATACAGTGAGGTGCAGTGCAGCAGGCGAGAGTCCATGGAACAGTCTCAAACCATTGCATGTAAGCGCAAAGTTCTGCCTTGTTTGGGGGAATCAAGGATCACCTGAGGGTGAGGCTCAGGAATGAACTATTTGAAATCCCCCCTCATAACTAGACGCTGCAATGGAAGGGGGCGTTCAATTCCAATGATCACGTGACCATTGAAATGTAATGGTTTTTATTAATTGGTTTATTGTTTTCCTGAATTGTACATTGATTAAGATTTAAAACAACACAATGATGAACTTAATCAACATTTATGGACATTGGTCATGGACCAATGACTCCTAAGTGTTTTCTATCATTGTTTGAACTGTTGAATGGTTTGACAGCTTTGTAAAGTCCTCCGAATTTACTGCTGCTGTGGTTTAAGCCTGTACAATAATACATTGAATTGAATTGGTTCAAGAGCAAAGACATACATCACTTTTTACATTTTTCCTCTGGATCCACTATGTCACTTTTCTCACAGCAGGACAATTCCATTCTTTCCCTCGTCGCTGTTGAGGGAGAAGCCTTTGATCGGCCGCTGGCTCCTCACTCTCTCTATGTTAATGAAGCTGTGGTACGAGCAGACAAAGACACCAGGTCCTCTGGGGACACAGGGACATCACTCTCCTCCTCCTCAAGCATTTATAATAACAGCAGTAATTACACAGAGATGCACTGGAACCTGACTGAGGAGGGAGAGGACTGTTGTTATTATTATTACTGTATATTCTGGGGATTCTCTGCTGCTAAAGTACAATATACACATCTGGGCTTTAGATAACCCTTAATTCGACTTGAAAACACTGAAATAATTCTATATATTATTATAAAAGGTTAGAATGTCTTTAAATTTAATGGAGGCTCATGAGTTTTGTCCATTATTGAGCAGTTTTGTGTCATTGCAGCAACATACGTTGAACAAAAAGTAAAAAAATAAAGAATACAGCCAAAAATGTCTTTGTTTCCATGACATTACAACTTCCCCCATCCTCTCCTTAATAAGTCTTTACGGCCATTTGTATAACTCTGACGACTGCACCTTCCAAAAGCCTCTCATTATAATTTTAATGATTCTCAGACGGAGCCGAGAGAAGGAGGAGAGAAAAATGGACGGCTATTTTTACAGAGACATTCTTCAGACTATTTTAGGAGCTGACTGTGTGAGAGCGGCGAGGCCTCTGTGGTCATGGAGAGAAATACAATATTCAATAGAATTAAACTCAATAATAACAATAATAATAATAATAATAATTTAAATAATGATGCAATGTCTTTATTTAGTGCTTTTCAGGACACTCAAAGACGCTTCGTCATTATTCATTTATTCCATACACAGTGATGATGATCTACCACTGCAGCCACAGCTGCCCTGGGGCAAACTGACAGAAGCAAGGCAACCAATCTGTGCCATCAGCCCTTTCTACCACCACCAATCATTCACACACACACCAGACTTATAATGTGGGAGGAGTGTCTTGTCTAAATACACAACAGTTTGGCACTTTAGCCGCAGCCGTCCCAGTGTGGCCCCTGGTGTTCCCAGAGTTCTCCCATCACAGTACTAACCAGGCCCAGTCCTGCTTAGTTTCTGGTTTTCACTTGCAGGTATAGCCACTAATTATTTTGTTTACTGTTTGACTTTGCAAACAGTTGAAAGACAGGAAATGTGGTGATACAAAACCCACAAAGCCAGTGGCTCATTTATCTGAGAATCATTAAACTCCCATTTCAATGTCAAATTTAATAACGCGGATATTTCTGACTCTATCTAACTGAAAATCTATGGCAAGTATAACTAGTTATAGTCACCAGTTTCATCACATAAAGTCAAGTATATTTTTATTGCACAGTTCATGCACAAGGCATTAAATATAATAAATGATAAACAAATAATCACAATCATAGATAGATAGATACGTTATCTATCTATCAATATACAATCAATCAAGATACAATCCTCTAGTTGTTGCAGCGAAACAGAACTGTTTTTAACCTGGATTTGAACATTGTCAGAGAAGAAGCCTGTCTCACATTTTCAGGAAGACTGTTTCAGACTTTAGCATAAATCTGAAATGCTGCCTCCTCATGTTTAGTCCTGACTCCCGGCACCAGCAGGAGGCCAGTCCCTGTGCTCCTCAGAGACTTGAGTTGCAGTCGACTGGTCTGTGAAAGTCTGTGTCTGCCTGACACAGACTTTCTCCTGCTGCCGCTGTGTTTAGTGATCCTCAACAATCATCTTGTTTATTTATGAGTCTCAGCCAGAGCAAGAGCCAGAGCCAGAGTCTGAGCCAGAGTCTGCGCCAGAGCCAGAGTCTGAGCCAGAGCCAGAGTCTGAGCCAGAGTCTGAGCCTGAGCAAGAGTCTGAGCCAGAGCCAGAGTCTGAGCTCTCGGCCTGATGACCTCAGAGAGTGGACAGAGATGGGGTACCACGGGGGTAAATAAGGTTTGAGAGAGTTCACTCATTTTCTATTTTAAGGCCTAGATTCCTCCAGGAACAATTCAAATAAGATTTACATGAGACTGTTGGAAAATAACCTCCAGGATTAGATGATGATCTGCAAATTCAACTTTAACCATGTTACAACGTTGTTCCTCATCCACATCTTTGCACTGGCACAGATGTGGACACAAGGAGACTCAGAGGAGCACAGGGACTGGCCTCCTGTTGAGACTCTGGGGAGCACAGGGACTGGCCTCCTGCTGAGACTCTGGGGAGCACAGGGACTGGCCTCCTGTTGAGACTCTGGGGAGCACAGGGACTGGCCTCCTGTTGAGACTCTGGGGAGCACAGGGACTGGCCTCCTGTTGAGACTCTGAGGAGCATAGGGACTGGCCTCCTGCTGAGACTCTGGGGAGCATAGGGACTGGCCTCCTGCTGAGACTCTGGGACTGGAATAAAGAACTATACATCTCTCACTTTAGCATAATACAGAAGCAAGTATCACCTGAGGGTCTGTGAATCCAGGCGGCGCAAGGGCTGAGTGGATAAGCACTCTCGCCTCTCACCAAGAAGGTTCTGGGTTCAAATCCCGGTCGGAATGGTATCTTTCTGAGTGGAGATTGCATGTTCTCTCCGTGCTTGACTAGGTACTCCGATTTCCCCTTCCACTAAAAACATGCACCCCTGCTCCAACACTCCAATCGTGTCCTTTTTAATGCATCTTAGACACTCACACAATCCATAGACAGCAGATAACAGGCAAAGAAGGCGGAGGCTGGAGTATCTCTTAACTCATAAAACATAAATTTAAGTCGGATTAAATAAGGTTGGTGTTGATGATCTTGATGATTGCCCGCGCGCGCACGCACACACACACACACACACACACACACACACCTCCCATATGGTTATGTCTCATGTTGTCTCAATATTTGTATTTATTTGTATGTCCCCATGTTTGGTCGCTGCTTCAATATTTTTAAGTTGTTGTACCAATTTCACTTTGGTACTGTATGTCTATGTATCACAATTGTATGTCTTTGTATCACTTTTGTATGTCTGTATCAGTTTTGTATGTCTTTGTACCACTTAATAAAAAAATAATTAATAACACAAAACATGCACAGTAGGTTAAATCCTCCAGCTCTGGTAGTCCTGACCAAGCCGGGCATCAACATCTGGATATGGGTAAATGTACTCTGCCTACTTTATCTGTTGCCATTATGGCCTCAGCTGTAGTCTGTTCCTTGCTATTCACCCGCTGTCCCATTCTCCGCTTTATGACGTGAACCCAGCCTCCTCCATCGGCATCTCTGCATGGACTGTCCTCTCCTGCCCGGACTCGTGGGCTGCACCCCCTCTCATAGCCA